TAAAAATTATTCATATATATTATTTGTTTGATTTTAAGAAAATTTAGATCTCTCTTTGTAAAAACTAATGATTGTTTATTAGAAGTACAATTTAGAAATCCAATGATACAATTTAACGACCCAGTCGCCAAATCGTACCAAAAGCTACTTAAAAAAAAAACTGATTTAAACAGTTTTCAATTATTTGTTTATTTGTGTTGTTTTTTTATATTACCAACGAACCAACTGCAACGTTTGATATAAATAAAGAAATATTTTTATTTCTTCGGTGTTTTTGTTTCAGTAATTTTTGTTTTTAATCCTAGAATACAATGTAAGTGACTTTCCCTTATAGCCCTAAATCATGCGTCATTTAATTGCACTGCAGATTAATGTTAAAAAGTTGTGTCAAATGGTTATAGAAATAATTCTTCTCTGAAGATTAAAGCGAACCTTGCAAGCAAAATTCCGATATGTCCTCCTGACTATGTGCGAAGTATGGATTTATTCTATTGGATATTCATGGAAAAAGAAGCCTCGCAATTCCTAAAGTCTTTTCACCGTTTTTATTTGCTTCAACAATTTATGTTTATTTGCTGTATAATTTATGCTCATTGTTGTAGTTCCATCTATCGTCATAGATGTAAACGGCTGTTGGGTGAATGATTCAACGCTTTGATTAGTATTGATGATCTTTCGAGGATTCATTTAAATTCTAACATTGTTTTTCGCATTTACAAATCTATATCCACGTCCAAATCCACTCTTTTCAATTGTCAATTAATAAATAAATGTTAATTACAAAAAACGGCACGATCTTCCTTGGGGATGAAACATGGGATAAGAAAGTAACAGCTATCAATCTTATTTTGCCAACTAAATTTTATCACATTATAAATTTCGCAAGACGTTCTGCGAGAAAATATTGAGTCTGATATTCGACGACTTTTTCATTCGGGAACTTCGTGGAAATACGGTCTAGGCATTCAATCAGCAACCAAGCGATCGGCAGATCAGTGAAACCAATGAAACGACATTGACAGCTATAGGGCGCGCCGCGGGCTCGTCAGTTGATCGGCGAATCGCTGAAGTAGACGATATTATGTGTTTTGATATTTTATACTAATGAATGCGATTAATAAGCGCACGAGTGGGCATACTACATTAAAGAACAGGTTTTTACCGAGAACAGGTTGTTTGTCGGGTGATAGTAAAGGTGTGTCGATAATTGCGCGTGCGATTGGCTGGAAGCCTGAAAAGATAAACATTGTGATAATGATGCAGAATTCTAATTAATTTCGCGGTTACATACACGGCTATTTGTTCTCCAAAATTCATCTTTCCCCGTTAGTCATACGGCTGCGCTCGCGACGTAACGTCAACTTTAATTATACCTATGAAGCGAAATTACGCAAAGCACGTGAATAAATGAGCGCCGAGGAAGTGTGATAACAGAAGCCAATTTTTCTTTTTGTAGTGAATTAGTAAATTCGCCGAAAAAGTAAGTAAAATTTAAATCGAATAGAAATAAAATGGATATCGTAGATAGTAATAATAATATTGTTTGGTCTTTGTGTCCTATTATAACGTAATTGTAATTTTTTTGTGGGAATGATATGAGGCAGGAAAAGGTTCTCTCTAAGATTTTCAAACTAATTCAATTGACAACTAATTGATTGAATAGAAAATTAAATACTGTTGTCAACAAACATGAAATAAACCTACAATGAAATTTCAACATGTTCGATTTTCAATGAGGAAACGTGCCGAATTGTGTATTGAAATAAACGGATTGAATATCGCATTGAATATCTGGTATAGATTAAATTTGCTTTTTGGTTTATTTTTGGTTTATTTTGACGAGTACTACATGTTCTTAAAGTTTGGTACCACCTTTTAAAAAAAAAAAACACCCTAATAAGAGGGTGATAAATTATACCCTATTAAGAGGACATAGGACTTTTTCGGCTTCAAAAAGTATACCTTTTTTGCTGTAAAAGATGTATAAGCTGCAAGGAATGTTTTTATAAATAATTTTATAAGTACCTATTTTTGCACTATTAATCACAATTTTTTATTTTATGTTTTATTGAAAAATACCTCTTCTTCCTAGGCCTTGGACGGCAGCATTTCGCGATATCAGAAATAACTTCGAGACCTGGTTCATTAAAAATAAAAAATTCAAAAAGAGTCTAATATACTTAAAGTATGTTAGAAATTATAATTCCTACCCTGGATATGATTTTTTATTTTTAACAAAATGGCGGATCTTCAAACTTTGAAAAACCGATTTTCGGCAAAAATTTCAATTTTTTTCTGAAAAAAAAAAAGAAATAAAAAAAGCATCCGTTAGAGACTACAACTTTTAATATACTTTAAAACTCTTTTTGAATTTTTTGTTTCACACGAATCAGATCGGAGATATTTCTAGTATCATGGTGAAATGCTGTATGCCGTGCAAAGTCTAGGAAAAGGGGGGAAAGGATATTTTTCACTGAAACATAAAATAAAATGTTGCGATTAATAGTAAAAAATATGTATCTTCATGTACAAAAAATTCGATCCTTGTATTTTACATATCTTTTCGAAAAATCATGAAAAAGGCACTTTTTAAGGCCGAAAAAGTTCTATGCCTTCTTAAAGGAATATTATTCAGAATATTATTTGTTACATTTATAATATGATCAAATATTTTTTAATCTAAAGCGAAAAACTTTATTAAGCGAGTGGGAGAGGATGTATGGATATAAAGATAAATACAATGATAGCAATTTATTTAAATAAAATGATGCAATTATTTATCGTTCGAAATTGTCAGCTTTAATAAGAAAGGTGAATCTTTAAGAAATGTATATTCCTGGTAATTGAAATTAAAATTAATTTTTGTTATTAATATTGTTTTCAAACTAAAGGTACAAAATTGTTTTTCCGCTATCCGCACTTTGTTCTCATTGTGCGCGCAGAAAACTTTTTCAACAGCTGTATTATTTTCTGGAAGTGATAATACATATTCTATGATTTTGCAATTTGGTCAAATTTATAAAATATTTTTTAGCGGGATCATTTTGTTATTATGTTGCTAAAATTAGAACATTTAACACATTTGACGGGATAGAGGAACAAGCACCTTGAAATCGGAACCGTCGAGATTGGAACATCTGGTTACATTAGTTATATTAAGAAACACGACGGTAAATATTATTACAAACAATTTTCAATAACTCTCCTCTCTATTCTAAGTACCGTCTCCTTTTTGAGACTACATACTATTTTATTCCTGTAAATTACACACTTTTTTTTATTAATATCGGCATTAGAAAGATCGAGATGCACATTCAATGATTATTTAATTTTAATAAAGATCTATTATTTGTATAACTGATAAGGGTGGCAAGATTCAGTGAATTTTTTTCACAGGACGAACTTGTCTGCTGTATGCTGCTGAGAATCGGTAAAAATTGGAATAAAAGCAACCTTTCGCCCACGCAGAATCTTCGCCTGTACCTATCCTTACGCACAACGAGATCCTTCTATTCTAGATAAATCGACACAGTTCGTTACGAAAGATCGCGTTCTCGTCTCGCTTTGCGCGATTGTCAGATGCATTATTCAGGACGAGAAATCCTCGGGAATAGTCTTCGGCAATGAAACACAGAATCGCGATTTATACACGCGTATCGATCCTGTTATTTAGAACCGATGAGAGGAAAAATGGAAATGTAGAGATGGATTCTTCGCGCTTTATTTCTCGTTTTATAAGATATCGTTGCACGTTACGTTATCTTTATTCTAGAAAATGCAACTCATCTCGCAAAATAAGATATCATCGGTCTTTAAATAGCCTGTAATATCTCGTGAATAAGATGTAAAATAAAGAATGCTCATTGTTTCAAGAGGAAATTTTTTCCCCTTTTGATGGAAAAGAAATATATCTTTAGGAAGTAAAGAATAATACAAAGAATAAAAAATACGCACGAAGAAGGAATGATTCTTCAGTAGTTTATGTGATTCTTGCGTGATGGGGTACAATCTTTGATTTATTCTAATAGTGCGCGGATATAATCAAGATAGGAGGGTTGTCAACATATTACGTAATGAGACATTACAATACATATATCTGAACAAATTGCAACACTCTTATCCGCACGATCTTTCTAAGGAATTGTGTAATGAATCAAGAGGATACACCGCTTGGCTGGATCTTTGTTGGATGTCGAATAACAGTGTAAAACGAGAATAACAATATTAATTATCATAAACTTTACAAGACTTCGAACAATTTTCCTTATTATTCTAAAGTAAAAAAAAAAGCAAGATTCTAATGAATAGAATGTATTCATGCGTATACAAAGGCACGCTTTATCGCAATGGCTTTTGAAATAGGTAAAAGAATATTTTCACGTACATCAGTTAATATTTCCACGAAAATGTATCTCTTAGCGATACATTTAGCGATAAAACTGATCTATTTGTAAGCTGTGTTGTGACATCGAAAAGCATTATATATTCGTTTAAAGCAATTTTAAGATATCGTGATAGCATGACAAGTTCGCTCGTAAATTCATCTACTTCACATACAAAGTACTTCAATTTATAAATAAAAGCAAACGTCAATAAGATAATGATTCTACAATCAACAAATGCTCATGACTTTCCTTTGCATGAATGATAAATTTATTTTTTATTATTTTGAAGAGAGCGTGGATCAGATGTTATATAAAAATTAAAATTGCAATTTTTACATTAAATCCTGTTATCTAATATTCGATATAATTAATAAATAAATATATATTCACTAAGACTAATATTTAAAACTTTCTTATTGGCGGTATAGTAAACATTTAATAAGTTTTTTTACTATCATGTACATTTTACCATAATGACATAATAAGATAATAACACAGATTCTATTTTACTCGAGACAATATATCATAAATATAAAATAATAGAAAATGTCAAATAGATTTAAGAAAAATATTTGACGAATGAAAGAATGCGTACAAAGTACTTGTGCATTTCAGAAAGAATGTCGAAATCAGGGAGCATCAAAGATGACGAGAAGGGGCCCTATGATCCGGTCCCTACCGCTGAAAAGGGCAACGACGAGATTAAGCTGGAAGCGAAAATGTCGCTCCTCAACGGTGTCACCGTCATCGTCGGCTCCATCATCGGTTCCGGCATTTTCGTCAGTCCAACGGGAGTCCTTAAATATACCGGAAGCGTGAATGCGAGTCTTCTCGTTTGGACGGCGTCCGGAATTTATTCTATGGTATATAATCTATCCCTTTCTTTTTTTCTCGGAAACCTATTTCTCGATGACTTTTGTTCTGTCGATTTGTGTTTAATTGATTTTTTTATTATATTTTATATCTGATGTCAATGTATTAATTAAAATAGTTGCTGCTTGAGACAGGAGATAGATTTACAAATAAAAAGAAGAATGATTTATTAATGACGATAATATCTGTACGAATAAAATTCTTTCGCATTGAATTCGGGTTTTTTAACGTATCGGCTCATATCGTTTACTCAAGTGACAGCATAGAAAATTCAAATTGATACAAATGCAAATAAATTCTGATAAATACGTTTCGATGTAAGCAGTGACACATATAGTACATATATTAATTAAATTCTTGTGTTTTTTTTCATATTTTTCGATAGATAGGGGCTTACTGCTACGCCGAGCTCGGCTGCATGATTAAGAAATCGGGTGCGGATTATGCATACATTATGGAGACTTTTGGACCCTTTTTGGCATTTATCAGACTATGGGTCGAGTGCATGATAGTGCGTCCTTGCAGTCAAGCTATCGTGGCCTTGACTTTCAGCGTCTACGTCCTCAAGCCGATTTTTCCGGACTGCACGCCACCCGATGAGTCCGTAAGAATGCTCGCTGTCTGCTGCATATGTAAGTAGATGATAAAAAATCGACGGACACACATCTTCGAGACACAAGAACAAAATCGAGAGCTTCTCTATCGTGATATATTCGCGAAATAAAACGAAGCGAAAAAAATTATTTCTTTTTAGGTTTACGGGAAACTAATTTAAAAATTTTGACCCATATGCGTTAAATATTTGTAAAAATAATTATATGTATACTTAATATAGAATTAATACGTTCCGTTCTCTGTTTTTCTGTAAAAGCTAACGGAAATGAAAGGATTTCGCAATATTGTTTAGCGTGTAGATCAAGTTCTGCATTCGTAGAATTTTCTTTTTCCACAACTCTGTTATATTAATTTATTCAATGTATTGCTTTACAATTAACATCGCGAACGTAGATACTGAGATCTGCATGCGGAGGAACGCAATGTAGTAAGTTTATCCACGGAGTTTATCCACGGATATTTGTTGCACGAAATTGTAATCGAAGCATGGGAGTGATACTGCTCCTGCGGCGATGAATAATCGCGGTACAATACCGTATGGCTGAAGATTAAACTTAACTGACTTGCGTGTCCATCAGTAGTAACGGTTTCAAACGGACCGACACAATGTGACCCACAGAAAATTCGTCTTTCCCACAGCAATCGTGCCCCTGATTGCGCTGCTCTTCCTCTGTCGATCTCTCCATCTCGTCGTTTATCTTTCAACTTGTTTTCAGAGCTCCTCTTTGTATCGCCCGTCTTGAAGGAGCATCAAGATATCGTAATTTTTTCATGCATCAATTACAACATCCGATTAAATTAATTTATTTCTAATTCATCTTTCTGATTTGTCATTTTATTTATTTATTTTCTTTTGCGTTCGTAGATCTTTTCTTTTTTTATGCAGTTTGCCTTTTCTTTTTACTGATTCCAATTGTCGTGTTGGTTTGATTGCAAAAATCGTGAGCTTACAACAGATGTTCGGCAGATTTTATTTGAATAAATAAATTTTATTTCATCTTTTTACGGTTTTTTTGTGAGCCGCTTGATTCGCTGATTAATTGTGAGCGTAAAGTAAATTAGTCTCGCAATCTTTTTTCAGTCCAATATCTTTTTTTATTCGTACAAATTATAAAAAATTTTAAAATATTCTATTTTTTTTATCAAAAAACAAATTAAGAAAAAATGTTTTGAACATTTGTTTGCTGCTTTTTTAAATGTTATTTACAAGATATAATCTTTAATATTTTATAACTAATATATATTTTTGTCGTTAAAACATATGTAAAACAAAACGTAATAATATATAACGTATAACATAAATAAATGTAAATAGCCATTCTTTTTACAGGAATCAATTAGTATAACTATGTAGCAATTGACAAATATAAAAAATGTTCATGTCAATATATAACAAATAAACATAGCTTTTGTAGCACAAGCAACAAGATAGAAATATTTTAAATAATTACCGAGTAAAAATCTATTCATAAATTTATTATACGAAATTATAAACCAATTTCTAATTTAAAATATTTTTTAGTAATTAATGGATAAAAAATTTGTGGATCTCTTCGCGCGTACAATCTTCTCTTGATTTTACTAAAATCATTTAGAGAAATATCGCGCCAAACGTAAGTAAAAATTTTCATTGCAAGAGAAACGCTGTCATGTAAAGAAAAAATAATTTACAGAAATATTTTCTTTACTCATACGACAATTTGCTGGACCGTATTACTCGAGAATTTACGATGAAACCATTTATATGTATCCCGAGAAAATTGCGTGTGTGCACAGAATTCCCTGAGCAGTGAGATCGACAATATTCTAACAGCCTTGAGCTTCCCTGTGCCATGTACTTCGGCCTTGATGTTTTGTTTCTTCTGCTCATTTTCCAGAAAGGATTCTGCTATTCTTTTCACGTAACGAACATGGTATAGAGTGCAGTTCTTAGTTGTCGACACAGTAAATTACTAACAAGACGTAAGAGTTTAAAAAAGAAGTCACAAGCTTCGAAATAATCCTCTAAAATACAATATACAACGATAAAAAGAAAAGTAGAAGAGTAAAATTAAATTAGACTGACAAACAATATAGTTAAGAAACTTACAAAAGAGATTCTGATTTTTATGCAAAATTACAAGATTTAATTTATGTGACATTTATTTGCTCTGTTTAATACATTCGCTCGACATAAATCTTTTTTCTGTTGGCGGAGTATGAAAAGCCGCATGTGAAGCAGAATGTGAAAAATAACCTTTAAATTAATAAGTATTTTCTCCTTTTAAGTGGCGCGGCGTAATTATGCAGCAAATCGTGGTTCGCATTCTTCATACGAATGCGCGCGATAATGACAGATCGAGACACACTTCATTTTTCCGCCTTTCCCTCCCACAACGTAGAAATCACGAGCGATTACGTGATTTTTATTCCCTTTCAATTTTCACGAGCAATCGCGGATCGCGGGAGAGACTCCAGCGTATAATCTGTGCACGATCGCGAATGTTAGTTAATATTCTAATAAAAAAGAATTCGTTCATGGTCACCGATAGGAATAAACAACTGGCGGATCATATCACGGAACTGGGAGTATTTTCGCAGAAACTCGAGGACGCATGTAATTTTGTGCATGTTTCCGTGCTGTAATGTTCACTTTTTTCCGCGTTTTCGCGGACGAGCATTCAATAAGATACATGTTAATCGAGTATCATGAAGTATTCTCATAAAATATTTTTTTGACTGAAATATCATAAAATTCAGAATCTATAATGAATTAAATATTAATAGTGTACGAGTATATTAGTACATAATGTTGAGGTAACTAATGTTTAACTATTAATTCATTGTTACTGATTTAATAATTATTGATAATTGTAGTTTGCATTTATTAAAATAATCCGGATATTACTGAAGTTGAAGTATATTGCTATAGTTTTAAAGGATCGGAAAAAAATCCAATTTTTTTCAATTTTTCCGCGGATTTTTTCGGTTTTTTCCTAAGGGTAGAAAAATTCATTTTAGAAAAATTCACGCGCGCTCGTAAAACCTACCACGTTTACTTCTCGGTTCTTTCCATAAAGAAAATAATTGCGTATAGGGTACACAGCAGGATAAAATAATAGGAATTTTAAAACTGTATAAAAGATTGAGGTCGCATAATGTATTCAATAAAACATACAAAATATACACTATTGCACCATTAATATAAGAATTAAAAATATAGAGTCCAAACATCACGTTTATATGATAATAGTAGGTCTAGAAAATAATTTGAATTTAAACTGAATTCGTAACAAAATATTAGAAAAAAATAAACTACAAAGAGATACTTCAAGAGTTCATTAGACCGGAGTGTGACAAACTAGAGTTAAAAATCTGTCTACTTAAGCTTTGCCATGTACTAAAGGAAGGTTAGATTAGGTTTCACTACATAATTTTATAGATCTCATTAATTTTATAAAAGAATTTAGAAGTTACTTATTATGTCTTTTACATAGCAAAAACAGTAATTTTTTCAAAAAACCAATTTTTCGGGAAAAAAACCGAAATTTTTCCGGTTTTTTCCAGCAATTTGAAAAAAGCGGCTTTTTTAACCCTCCGTGAACTAGGTGGAAAATCAACATGGATCAAATGTAGGTATATCTCATACCCCATGCTATACTTCATCCTAAATATACTATAATTTAGTGTGATTGGTAACAACGCACTTTCCAGTTGCACGAAATCGGCAAGATGTACGCGCGGTACTTTTTAAGAAGTTATAGAAATTCTTGCTGGAGTCACACCCCATCTAGTTCACGGAGGGTTAAAACTATATATATTTCTTTATATAATTTTAATTGCGAGATACGTCAAAGGATAATTTACACAAGATACACGATGCATATCATGCAAAAAATTTATTTTTAGAAATTCATTCTGCGGACGAAGATACGACCACGAGTAAACGTATCGTGTTCCTTGTGGTTGCGGTCGTTTGACTACGCATTTCTTTTGCTTCGATGTCACCCCTGCAGATCGCATTACAGATACGCAGAAGTAATTGCATTTCAGTTATTTTTTTCTGGGAGACAATTGACGAAGTATTTCTTTCGTAAATATTTACACGGGAAGCTTGAATAAGCCTGTATAAATATTTACGCGAGATACGGATTTACTCGTTTCTCTAAAAAAATATTTGATAAAGGATATAAAACATATCTTTCACCAAATATAATATATGAAAAATAATATTGAAAACAATATTAAAAATGTTTATAAAAGTAAAAATAATTAGATAATTTATTAATTACATACTGTTATGTAATTGGGGCTTAAGAAAAATGAATTTTATCCATGATTAAAATCACTTTGTCAGATAATAATTAATCTGAAATAAAAAATCTCGAATAAAAAAATCTGATACGATTAACATGTTATAATATCGCATTCGTGATAAGCACGATAATTCTGGTGTATCGGATCGTAACGTAAAAAGTGTATCACGTTCGCAATCGACACGATCTTCGAAGAATAGTTTCGAGCGATTGGAAGCTAGTCTATCGTTAATTGAACGTGCACACTTCTCACGTTTCTCTCAACAAATCAATTATGTTATTCGAAATTTCGCATAAAATTGGAGAAAAATGCTTTGAGATATAAAGCGATGAGGTGATTATTCTAAATTTCGCGTAAAATTACTCGAGAAAAATGCTATAAGATATAATTATAAAGTGAAGAGTTAGTTATTGGCGACGTTGTCAGTAAAGCTTTTCTATAGTATTTGAAGAAAATAAGATTTCACCATATAGACTTTCATTTATTCCTTCCGATAAATCATTCGACAAACCGGGAATAGGTTTTCCCGTGAAGGAAAATGAATGGCGAACGTATTCGTTCTCGACGATGAGGATTTTGAATAAATGACGCGTCGCATTTTCAATATTTATGATAAGTCTATCAAGGGTCTCAAATAAGATTATAAATTGGTAATAAAGTTTCGTCTTCTCAGGGAAATCTAAAAACTATAAATTTATTCGACATCTTTTTCTCTTTCTTAAGAAAATTTTTTCCTACTTTCTTTAATATTTTGTTCTTAAATTAAACATTTCAAATAAAAAATTAGGAAAAATATACTACTAATATTATTTCATTAATTAGTAGAAAGAATATTTAATTAATTAGTAGAAAGAGTATTTAATTAATTAGTAGAAAAAGTGTGATTAATGACAAATTCGCATCATTAACAAACAATCCATTAATTAAGCTGGCTATCTGAAAGAGATTTAGATTATATAGAAAGTTCTGCCATACCTTTGCATTTTATGTATATATATTCACAGACATTTGATTTAATTCTGTTTTTCTCATATGAATGAATGGCAATCCATTTCCACTTCACGCTAGTAAGTGATAAAGATCAATGACCAGAGCGAACGTGTGTTCGCATCTTTTCGTTTTATTTGTGTCAAGTGCAATAATTTGCGATGGAGATTTATTAATCGTTATTCCTAATTGTAACTGACATTCATTGATGAACTAACAGATTAACTGCAATAATGTATTCCGTTAAAAAACAATAACTTTGCCGTAATTCTCTGTGATAAAATTTCTATTTTTTAAAAAACACAAATTTAAGAGGCACTTTTCTTGTATTGGACAAATTTAAGAGATTTAATTTGGAGATAAAGTTTTAACAGATCGTTTAAGATAAATTTAAATATAACATGCGTTAATTGACACACATTAATCATGTCGACACTTGGATCAGTGGAAAGAAGATCGTCACAGACCGAATGGAAACGTCGATGTGAGACCGCTTGCGAGTCAAAAGCCTGATGGCAATCACGCTTCATTGTGAACAAATGTAATTTAATAATGTGACAACTGGCCACCACAACAGCATAATTCACCGGTGGGGGGATAACGGGACGAAAAGGAAGGCAAAGGAAGGAAAGACAAAACGAGTGGACGAAGGGAGAAGAAAGAGGTGGAAACACAAAGCGGCGCTCGATGGGGAAAGGATGAAAGGGGAGATGGAGTCTCGCGATATTTCTGCGAGATGTTGCATCAGTCTCCTGACATTTCTTCTTCCTTTTGTTCTACGCGAATTCGTCAAGGACACAACTCCGAGCGGCGCGAAATGTTCTTGCCAAACTCTGTGACAAAGAAATGAAATCCTTTATTAACGAATTAATATTAGCATTATGCCTCGTGTAAATAGAGCATTCACGATGAGATTGTCCCGTACGTAATTCTTCAATGAACAAGGAAACAAAGAGGCTGAGGCGAGCAGACAGAAGTACAATAGATATATTCAATTGAAAAGCAAAATAACCGATATGTACTGATATAAATATGTTTCTGTTTTTTCTTTAAATCATTTTTTTTTATTTAAAGATAGCAAAATTTTTCTAGTTATAAAATTTAAAATATAATAAAAAATTCATATGTAAAAATTTAGAAAAGACTATAATCAAAATTATTACAATTATAGTTAAACTAAAGATTTATAATTTCTTTTTGTAAAAATCAACGTAAAATCATGACGATTATTTTATAAAAACTATTATAAAAATTATCGCACTTCCGCTGTTTTTCAACTCGCGCCAATAAATTATATATTATACCAATAAATTTTTTCAATTTCTATTTTTGCAGAATCGTCAATAGATAAGAAAAAGAAAACCGACTACAAATATTCTCCCTTACCTTATAAATTAGAGTATCTACCTATATCCTATTTTTTAAAAATAAGTTGATAATTAAAATGTATCCATTCTATTTGATAGGTATTGATAAAGTAACGAAATCGTGTGTGCAACCGGTTCGATTAAAGCTAGCACGATTTAAAAAACGGCCTCTCTTTATCATAAAATTATAGCGAAAGGTCGTAAAAGTATTTCAAAGTGAACGACACGTGTAAAACTGGGTGGCATTCGTGACCACACATGATTCTTAATTAGATTGACTTAATTTCGCTCACGCGAGTCGTAATAGGTTCATATATCACACCTGCTGTGAGTAATGTATCATATGTTGAAAACTAAGTAATTTGATTACCTATACTTACAAATTAGCGACACAAGAGAAGATATCTTTTTAATCTTATTTTTAATTAAAGAAATTTTATACGTTCTGGTTGTTTGAATACGTCCCCTCCCCCGATTGCATGATAATTAATTCGATTATTTGCATCGATTGTTTCAGGTATTCTCGCTTTCGTAAATTGCTGGGACGTCAAATGGGCGACGAGAGTGCAGGACATCTTCACGTATGCGAAATTAGTCGCGCTTTTCGTAATAATCTTCACCGGAGCGTATCAGCTTTGCACCGGTGAGTCTGTCCATTATTGTAATTATATATTAGCAAGATAAAATTTCGCACACGATACTTAACTTGTAAGACAAACGAGTTTGGAAAAAAATTAACAAGAATAGGAAATAAAGACTAAGAGATGCATTTAAAAATATTAATGTGTTGAAATAACATGTAAATTAATCACGTTTTAAAATAAATCTACAATATACAAAATATTCAATCTAAAAAGATAGTAAATCCAATACACAGAGATAGCTACATAATCTATTGATATTTTGAAAATATTATATAAACATATAAGATACATATATTACAATACATATTATATTTATATTTTAAAATATAAGCAATAATATAATTCGGAATAAAATGAAATACCTAATATCTTTATATCACGAAATATTCTTATGAAGACAGAATTAAACATTTTCTATCCAATATCTTCGAAGTAGTACGCGAGATACATTAATAATATAAAGCGAATAGACTTTCTAGAGCGTATTATGAGGTGAAAGGTCAACGACATCACTCGATCGCGTGCAGTTTGCAGCGATTTGCAACGATCCCGAGTGATGCTAATCGGCGTCACGTGATCACGTTCTCCGCGTTTTTCATTCATTGTGAATTTTTCTCGTTCCCTAATGCGAACGATTTCACGGAACATCGAGACATCGAGAGGTTCTCGGTACATGTATTTTCAACAAATCGAAAGAATCGTTCTTGTATCAGAGAGACTTTCTCTTTGTAAATTGTCTAACTTAATCGATCGATAGTTCTAACGTTTTTTCAATACTCCGCGCGATCGTATCTCCTGTCGCTCCTCCTTTCATTCTTGCCGACATCGAAGAATAAAATTATAAGGTGTATATAATAAATTAATTAATTCGATCGACAAGTTTTTAATTATTATTGTTATTATTAATGTTCAACATAATGTATAATTTTAATAGCAATCAATTTTTAATATTTCCTTCAAAGATATGAGATAGAGAATAGAAAGAATATTAAATCTCATAGGACCGTATAGGTCCTACACGTAGGACATACACAGAGAAAAAGGTTTTTTTGGATTTAGTATTCCTATTTATTTGACTAAAATTTGTTTTATAGTTTTATTGAAACAACATATACTTGTACGAAATATTATTTGTTTGAATAAAAATTTTGTTGTTTCATTCGAGAAACCTCTATTGTTTGACAGAAATAACATATTTGAAGTAATATCTTTCAATTAAATAATATATTATTTAGTTACAATGAATACAAACAATGAAACAATTATTTGTTTGAAAATGGCAAAATATATTGATAGAGGTATGATAGAGGTTCACACACACACATGCGCGCGCGCGCACATGCAAATGCAAATAATTGCTTCTTAGAACAACCATTATATTTTTTACCGAAATTACGAAAACAATGGCTTATACGTCTAACAACAGGATTAAACGAACAGCACTATATGTTATATCAATTATGTTTGTGCAGTACAATTTGATCACGCAAATGCCGAAGATAGACATTATCTGTTCAAACAAACAATGTATTTAAGACAAAGATACTTTCAAATTCAAACAATCGCACTTATTGATTAAAATATTGGTTTGTTTGGACCATTCCAAATAACAAATTTATTTGGATACAATAAAATTTATTAAATCCAAGGAAATCTTTTTCTCTGTGTACATGTGACAACAGAATCAATAGGAAATAAATGCCTTTATAACGGTTTAACTAAATCTTAAGTGCTTGTATAATTCTGTGTGAATGTATGTATGCAGTCCTTCAAACTGTGCGCCGAAATAATTTTTCGGTCTTGAAAACGCAAATTATCTACTAAACTACTGCAGTAATAGGTATTACGAGTTAAATTGACTAGCAATTTAACATTTCGATGCTCTTACACATCTTGATAATGTTGAATGACATATTAAAATCTGTAAATAATTAATATTTATTGCGAAAAATATTACCTCGGCCGAGAGTCGAACCCTGATCTCTACACTGAGAAAAATGGTCTGGTTGGATTAAATAGTAATTCTGGTGGAAAATGGACGAATCAGAATTTTCTGGTTAAATCTATTAGAATTCTAGTTGAGATAATTAGAATTCTGATTGATATAATTATTCTGGTAAAAATGAGAATTCTAGTAGATTTTACCAGAAATATTGTATCAACCAGAATTCCTGTTATCTCAACTAGAATTCTAATAAATTTAATCAGAAAATTCTGATTCGTCCATTTTCAACCAGAAATTTTTTTCAGTGTAGCATTCCGTGCGTCCTCCTGAGAAAAGAAAGATATGGAAGATATAAAAAAATATGGAGTTAAGAAACATTCTTGCAAGCAAACCTGTAACTAAATTAGCATCAAGAATGATTCAATGTCAGATCATAATTTTGAAAAATGTCTATGTAGGAAGATGTTTTATTTTTGTAAGAATCGACCGTCCAACGGAAGTTACTTAAACGTTTTTTCAGCATCGTATGCTTGCCGGACGAGACAATTTACCCAATCAAAAAGGTGCGCAGGCGATGCGATGTAGTCGGTGTGCGTGCAAGGAATCGCTTAAATTGGACTATTCAGCGAAGCAAATGGTTCCTTGACCATGGTATGCGACAATCATCTCAATTCTGACGAAACTTTTCTCCGATCTTACACGCCACTGAACTTCATGCTCGCCTTTCGTTAACGATCCCGCTCAATCCAGCCTTATTCATTAAAGAACCAATTAAAAAGAGATTCTAATTATGAAATACAAGAAATCCAAATATCAGTTAGAAATTGTTACTAAAGACAACAGCGTACGATGTTTGTTTTCTTGCTGGATTGCTAACTGGATTAGATTCTTGCTACCTTATTGATTGCAATGCTAGCACTGTCAGCACCGCAGCCAATACGGTGACAAGATTCTAGCCAACAGAAAAATATCGTTTTGTAGTTACACCTACGTTTTTTAAATAATATATCTAAATAAGTTAAAGAAAACGTTAAAAATTGATTGCTACTAAAACTATACATTTATTGTATTGAATACTAACAATATTAATAATTAATTATTCTCATTCAATAGAACAATAATTCTTCGATATTCATGATCTTTATGTTTTATTTTCCTAGGACACACACAGTATTTTACGTTTGACAACAGTAACACGGAAGTCACGTCTATAGCACTCAGTTTTTATTCAGGCCTGTTCGCTTACAACGGTTGGAACTACTTGAACTTCATAATTGAAGAACTGAAAGACCCCGTTAGGTGAGAACTAAGCCTGTCGCGCAATAAATTAAACGCGATTCAGAGGAAGTTCATAACTGAACGTTAATTCAGTGACAATAGCCGCTGCAGAAAATTTATGTTACTCCTGTACGCTTATAACCCTGTATTTATTTAGGAATCTACCGAAGGCCATCGGCATTTCGTGCGCTCTCGTTACAATCGTCTACGTCTTTACGAACATGGCCTTTTACACTACCCTTAGTCCCGTCGAAGTGCTCGGTAGTGAAGCTGTGGCGGTGGTAAATAACAACAAATACACTTTTTAATAAAAAAAAAAGGAGTCTTTTAAGAATCTTAGAAGAAATGTGATTTGAAAAATACAAACACTAAATCTTACTTTAATGTAATCAAATAATAATTTCTATCTGTATATTCTAATCATTATAAATGTTCATATTTATTCTACATTTGAATAATATTTATATATTATTTGTACTCTAGAGTCATTTTATCTTCTTTGTATTAACCGTATTAAAATTAACTATTATCTATATGTGTATGAACTAATAATTTTCTAAAATAATTAGTTAATTCTTTAAAGCTCCTAAACTGTGTGTGTGTGTGTGTGTGTGCCTTATATTGTTAGCTATAATTACTTTATTACCTTTAAAGCTCCTGTCTTTATTTGGCAGACATACGCAAACAGATTGTTTGGCGTGATGGCGTGGACGATACCAGTTTTCGTAGCTCTATCTACATTTGGCGCAGTTAACGGCATTTTACTCACGTCCTCGCGACTTTTCTATGCGGGTGCCTGCGAGGGTCAAATGCCGGAGATACTGACGATGATCCATCCCGCCCCCCCCCCCCGCCGTAATTTGCATGGTAAACTGTTCTTCTCTTTAATTCGAAAGCTTGTCTTACTTTGAAAAAAAAAAAGTATAAATCGGCTGAAAATTATGATATTAATCGTACTATTAAGTTATGTAAAATGCATTCGATCAATAACATAGTAACTCTTTTCTAACAACACTGAATCATAGATATGTAAAATCGTATGAATTTTATTTGTGTGTAAGATAATACTTAATTTTTGAAGAATTTATCTTTAAATTATTAAAGATTAATATTAAGATTAATATTAATTAAAAATTAATGTTAAAATTATTAATTTTTAACTAATTACATATTGATTTTATGTTAACTTAATAAATTAATTCATAACAGATATATGATCCTTTACAATTGATTTCGATTCGATTTGTCATTTTATCTTTATACCGCGAAACAATTACTAAATTTTCAAGTACAAACCAACCCTTCGCGCCTGTTGATCGTGATTGCTGTTAGACTCAATAAACACATGAGCGGACAATCTAACGGACAAATTGTTTCGAACATCGTCAAACTTGTTGCGGTGGGCAAATTTACTTTGTCAGAATTAGAAAAGGCACTCTATCATAAGCATGGACCCTCAATTAAAAACACAATCTTTTTCCAGGCTCTACTATCTATGGTGTACCTGTGCTCTTCCAACATTTTCCGTCTCATCAATTATGTCGGCTTCGCCACCTGGGTACGTACGATTTTTACGCTCGTCGAACTTTCTCTTATAACAAAAATAAATTTTTCGTAATAATTTTATGATGTCGAAGAGATACTGTTTCGTGAATATGACTTCGGATTTCTTTTTTCCATTAATTAACACAAAATAGATATAAATATGACCTTCTTCCTGACTTTGTTATACAAATGATACCTCGTCTTTCGAAGGTCGTGCAGCGTAATTATAGTGCGACCACTAAATATTTCTTAGAAGCTTATGTACTCACCCGCGATGAATTAGCTCAATTGGAACAGTAATAATTTTCCAATTAGCTGATCACTTGACGCAATCAAGTTATAAATTTGCAGTCGATTCTTGCATCTGTACACATGCTTGATTTCTTTTCGATAACTTTTTCAACATGCGCACTTTAATTCTAAGCGATAACATTACCTTTAATCTCGCGAAATATATTTGTATATTATTAAATTAAAAAAAATAATGTATTTCTTATAAAATTATAACTCCCAACTTTTTAATTGTTAAATAACTTTAACTTTAATCCGTTATATCTTAAAAAATTGATATTTCATCAACAATATTATTTTTAGCAAGTGTGAAATATTCCTGTTTTAATAATAAATACGTTATTTTTTAATGTAATTATTTTAATTATTTACAAGTTCTTTTGATTTTGTAGATTTATAATTTCAAATTATATTTACCACAATTTATCTCAACTTGTAGCTCAGCATAGGCGTTTCCGTGTTGTGCCTTCCGTGGCTCAGGTGGAGCCAGCCGAACTTGTTGAGACCGATCAAAGTGAATCTCATTTTTCCGATCTTCTACATCCTAGCCACTCTCTTTGTTACGATTGTTCCGATGTACGCGAGTCCCGTTGAAACTGGTGAGTATCTGTCATTAACGATTCGTGATATGATTGTGTAAAATACAATATGTTACAAAAACAATTCTGTCTTAGGATATGGTTGTCTGATGATATTTTCCTCCATACCTGTCTACCTTGTATTTATCTCGTGGAAAAAAAAACCGAAATTCTTCCAAAAAGGAGTCGGTAAGTCTAACGAACGTAACATGATATACTACATAATATATCATCAACTTTAATCAAATATTAACATATCGAGCATTCATAGACACAATATCGGTTGTTAAAAATTATTGTTAAAAAATATTAAATAACTTCCTTCGCTTTATTTTGTGAAAATGTATTAAGATATCGATCATATCATTTTTATATAAGGGAATCCTAAAGTGAATCTGTTTTATCAATTTTTTCAAACAAGTATTTTTCTGCCTTTACAGATTAAAAATTCCTTCTCCATAATTAAAGTATAAACGATAATGTAGTCCAAACCGATCGACCTTTATGCCAAAAGCGGAAAAAGATAGAAAATTACAATTTTGTTACCGACTTTTAACGTTAACTCGTAATAATTTGCTTTATATACGAGTTTTATACTTCGTATAAAACAATTTGATTTGGACTAGAGATTACATGAACAATCAATATTGAGTACTTAGAATTAGATACTTAATACGAAAGATTAGTTAGTTAGAAAATTTGTATGTGTGAATGCGATATTGATATTGTAGTATATAAAGTCGATGTGTCGGTGAAACAGCGATCTCATCGGTTTGGGCTTTATTTTAGAATCCCCTTAAGAATGAAACTGAAAGATAGAAAAAGAGAGGAAGAATATCACAAAAGAGCTCTAAATTTATTTTATTCAAAACTGCGGAGTGATTTTTAATAAGACGTGCGTTCATTACCTGGTTTTAATTCATAATTTAAGGAGTCATCTTTACGGTGGCGAACGATTTTTCTTTTATTTCGTTTTTCTGTAATCGATTTATTCCCACAGGCGCCGTCACCCAAAGTTTGCAGAAGATGATGGTAGTCGTGGGGCCACAAAAGGCAAAGGTTCAGAACACACAGTAACATAATTTTACTCTTGTCATGTCACGCATGTTTAGCACTCATATATTTTCTTTGCTTCCTATTTTTCGTCTTATCTGATTGGAATATTTGCTAGAATTAGCTCATCTTTCAAAATTGCTCTCGATTCATGTATGCATGCTTCTAATTGTTATCACAATTTTTCTTCGCTCTATTGTACATTTACATTTTATCGCACTATCTTAATTATTAACTGTCTTCTATCGTATCATATATTATAACAATATTGTATATTGTTATAATATATAATTTATAATTATAATTATTAATATATAATTTATAAGCTTTCAAACATAAAAGTTAAATTTTTGCTTGCTGCCTGTTCATCTTGCTTATCATTTCTTCAGTTTGAAAATCAACGACTGTTTTGAAGCATATCGTGATTTTGTTCAAATCTACAGTATAATCTTTTTAATTATTTAGGATAATTTTCTAAAATCTTGATACATCCTTTTCGAATTTGAAGAGTTTAACGTCGTTTTATCGGCCGTATTACTCGCAAATAATTAATTGAATAATTGTCGGCACTTTCACTTAAGTTGACTAGGACATTATTGAGATTTGATTTCGCACGTCACACACATCCACACCACAGACACATTCAAATATACCAAATCGAATCTCTCTCAGAGAGCCTAATATATCTCAGATATTAGCAACTAACAGACGCGATTAATCGCGTTCCCTTTGCTAGAATCGCACTTGCATCCAATGACCTCGGGTTATCATGGTTATCACATTTATAACATCTCGCTTACTCTTGTTGCAGTAAGAATCACAAGGCTGTTGCAGAAGATAATGCTGATAGTCGGCAAGGCGAAACCCGCTCAGGTATAAACAGTCAAGACGAACCGGATTGAGATCAAAATGATGAAGACGAGGCCTTTCCGGAACCGGAAGACACAGATTTTCGTCGATCTTCGAGTTATAATCTCTTCCTTCTGCCGGAAAAGAATGCGATTGGGAAGCGAGATTGATTAGCATATCGATTCCACAGGGGATCGACGATATTATTCTTTTGACTCTTCTGGATTGAAGAACAAGCGTCCTAGAACAAGAGACAGCCATATCTACGTGTTAGGACGCCAAAAAAATTAAGGCGAAACGGTTCGTCTTCCAGATTCGGATCTCGTCCTTGACGAACTCCCGTTAAGACGTGCCCGCCCAAATTTCGAAGCAAGGCTGTTATTTCTTGTTCGATTTCACGGCAAAGAGATATACGCGATGACACGCCTGCACGCTTTTGAGTTCATTAATTTTATTCGACAGTTAGCGTCGAAGTCTTCATGTTTTCACAAAGATAAATACATAACTGATTTTATATTAATGCTGTCAGTAACAGCTGCAATGTCATTATTTCTCTTTATACAGATAACACTTAATAATTGTTTCGAGCAAATAAGATAAATCTTAATAATTTGCTCGAATAGAATAATTATAAAGAAATTTGTAAAATAAAAATATTGCAATCCAAATAATCCAAAAACGTTATATTTCTGGATTAACTGGATGAAATAATTGATTATTTGAATGTTTCGGAAATAACGATTAACTCACTGTGTTAGCGAATACTAATACTACTACTGTTATGAAGCGTCATTAAGAATTTTTAAAAAATACCAGTTACATCATGTTTGTAATTTCAGCATATTTAAATATCGAGATTTATCACTGGTGCGACGTAAAATTGTTTTTTACCATTTTCACTACAATTATATTTGATTTACTCGTCTTATGAAGATTAGAAATAATAAACACATAAAGCGTTAAAAATTAAAAAAATTTTGCAAAGTAAATTTTAATTCTAAAAATCATAATTCTAATTATATACATATAATTTAAGAAGCTAATTTTAAATTGATCTTAAATGAAAAATGCATGTGGGCGAATTACATTATGCAAGCCTTTTTTCCCAAATTAAATTAATAAATCCATAAATCCATAAATTGTTACACGCGATTCTAATGTATATCTACTATGAATCAAAATCGCGTGAATCAAAGATATGTATATACTTCTAAATAGCCTACAAGCAATATACGTATCATATTCGAGATGATGGAGAGAAATGGTTGCAACCGCGGGTCTCATCGCGATTATATCTTTCTCCGTGCAAATGAAATGTGCTAGAACCAACGTGGAGTTGAATTAAAAAATCCGACCGACGTGCCAAAAAGTTGAGATAACAATCAAAGTGTCACTATAATTAATTAAGCACTGTTTAAGCTGTTAGTCTTACAATTAGTCGTAGCGTTCGTTCGATAGGCGATGTTTGCTGTATGTGTATGTGTCATGATCCTCGTTATCTCAATGCCGTTGTAGTTTTGGCACTCGGACGCGTTTGTAATTGAACTCTAACCGAGAATCGTCCGTTCAAACTGACAAACATTTCATATATTTACCGCTTCATTTCGTTTCACACACATCCGCGATCCGTTTCGTTTTAGATTAAAACTAGGGATGCAATATCCAGAAACGATATTAATATCCGTGAAAAATACATTTTTTTTTGCAGAAGTAGCTTAATACGTTAACGTTTTCAATTATCGAATAATTGAAGCATGTTGCAAACTCGCTTTAAGAGAAAAGACTTTAGAAAATTATTACAGAAGAAATAACGAAAGAACTGTGATGTTAAATGTAGATGCTAATAGCTAACATATATATATTTTCATCTCTTGGATATTTTTATGATTTCACTATAAATTCTTATAATAAGAATATTCACAGAATATGACTATAGAGATTTTGTAGTGCTATTTTATGAAAATTTTACGGAAAAGTAGGTTGAGTACTTCATGAAAAAGTGTTCCGAATATCTTACGGAAGAGTGCGATTTCAAGCAACATTTGTTGCGACCGTTGAAAAATTGTCTCCGTATCTTATTGCAAGAAATACAGAATATTTTGATATATCGTTAATATCTTGCATCCCTAACAGAGATCTATACGCACGTATGTGCGGAGATTTAACCCTTCGTTAACGCATTTTTAACGCACTATCTTTTGCTTTTATTATTAAATTAAACCATTAATTGCTAATTTTGATTATCATTTTTGATTTGTTTGATTTGTTGCGTTTGAAACGAGGAAACGGAGGGTTAAAAGTGCATTTGTTACGCGCTGACACTCGATTGTCAACGTCGCATAATACTTTTATATTTTACTGCCACAGGTAAAATGCGTGCGTGCGTGCGTGCGTGCGTGCGTGCGTGCGTGCGTGCGTGCGTGTGTGTGTGTGTGTGTGTGTGTGTGTGTGTGTGTGTGCGTGCGCGTGCGTTTGTATGATTCTGTCAAAACGGCAGCAGTAAAAAGACGGCTCTTCAAAGACATTCCATTTACATTTAATACATACTAAGAAGAAAAACTGACGTTTGCAGGCTATTTAAAGAATGAGAAGATAAGCTTCGCATTTGAAAAAAAAATTTTTTAGGAGAGTTTGTAAGCTCATGCGCATTTTCGAAGATCTCTAATAATAAAACAAAAAAATATCACATAGTTTACTTTTTTAATTTAATGTTGTAATTTTATGATTTATTTAATGCAATACATATTTAATCTATTATTTAATATAATACATATTCTTTTCTGTTGACAAATTATTATTTGTTAAATTATTTTTTCAATCTCTTTCCTATTTTTATCTCATCTGTGTTGAAAATCGCATGAACTTATAAACGTATTTTAATTATGATTATCAAGAAATATGATTATTAAAGGAGGAGGATCCATAAAGGCCGATTTCGGCCCTATCCAAATTTTGTCCAAACTCATGAAAATTTATTCTTTGAGGTCAATTATATTTAATTTAAGTAATTTTAGCTTAAACGGAGCGGTGATGTTGTCATATTTATACGAAAATTAATATTGTGAATACCGCATGTTTTATTGAAAAACCTGAACAATCATGGTAGTCGTGTTGGAAAATGATCTGAATCATTCTGGAATGGCAAAGTTTTCTTAATTCTCTTTACATTTGATACCGATGCTCTTATACAGGATGTCCTAAAAAGGTCGAGACACCTGAATATCTCGGAAAATATAAGTTTTACAGAAAAGTGTATCAGACAAAAGTTGTAGAGTTCAAAAAGATCTATTTACTGATCTTATCAGTTTGACCTTGGGTGGCATCGCCAAGATCAGGTCAAGGTCACATCAATTTTTTAAAATGGAACATCCTATTTTTGACTTCAGAATCTAATAGCTGGTGTCGAGAACTTTCCAAAACGCTATAAGAAAATATTTTTTCATTATTATCGACCCTCCTCCTTTTCAAAATCTTCATCTGTCCCGATATTAATTAACGAAAGAAGAAAAAAGAAGTTTCATCCACCATCGATCCCATAAAAATGCGTTTTTATTGCTAAGATTAAATAGTGTGTACGTTGTTCGCGATCTTTGAACGCATTGTGCCTCTTAAAATGTTGTGATTATACTTAAGTCTTGATTTTTTCGTATACGAATAATAACGCTTAAAATGCTTGGAGCAATGGATGAATTTCGATTTCGGCTTTACTCTAAGAAACTCGCCATTTCCTTTATTCTTAATTATTTCGGCAAAAAGTCTTCTTTATTCAATTTAGTAATTAATGACATTATTATTGTATATTTTGCATCCTTAGATTTTCATTTTTAAGAGCGAAAAATAGTCCTCGAACCAGAAAATGGCACCGTTGCACATATCTCTAGCAGAGTTGTTCTAGGACCAAAAGATGTGTTTTTAATATTAATGAACCGAGATCTTGCCTAATTGAATGACTATCCTAAGGATTATTTCTACATGTAGCTTTAGTTATCGCAATATCGAATTTAAGAGGCAGCTCGGCGATTCGTTCGCCCCCTCTAAAAATTAGATATACTTAAATTAGGAAGCATATAGTTGTGACATTTTTACTACAATAGCTTTTGTAGCATAAAATACAGCTGTTATCGTCGTAATTTTTCTCAGCATACAAGACAATAACTTTCTTTTGCGAACTTGAAGATGAACGTATATTTGTAATCGAAAAGCGAATCGTTGATGCTGCTCTCTCGCAGCAAGTGATAATTTCATAGTTCTTCGTCATTTTAACTATATTTTTATGGTGCATGTTTCGAGAATCATGAATACTCATCAACGTTCTTCAGGATGCCTGCAAGCGCGAAATTACGTAAAATACTGAACTACTA